GGTGTGGGGGAGGTTGGGAGGGGGAAGTAGTTTGTGGTTTTCTTCTCCTGGGCTCTTCTGCTTTCTGTATTTGCTCAATTTGCTTTTTCTCCCCCAAGTCATCTGCATGGGAAACTCAGGTCTGAGATAATTTCCACAGGATTACCCACTTAAAACAGACTTCAGGGTCCCAGGGAGGTGTTGCACTGAGCAGTTCATACGCCACCAATATACTTACTGGATACCTATTATGTGCAGGAACCATTATAGGAATAAAAGAGACAAAGAAGCTGCCCCCATGGAGCTTCTATCCTAGTAGGGAAATGACAATAAACAATGGTCATAATAAATATGAAAATAATATAGAATATTAGAAAGTGGTTAAGTGTTAAGGGGAAAATAAAAGTATTGTTGAATAGGAGCTTTCAGGGAGTCTGTGAGTTGAGATGTATTTTTAAAAGTGTCGTCTGGGTGGGCGTCACTGAGAAGGGGAAGTTTGAACAAACCTTAAAAGAAGTTGGGAGTGAGCCATGTGCTTATCAGACAGAACCTCCTCATGGGAAACGGCACTGCAAAGGCCCTGAGCCTGGAAGCTTCTTGCTGTGTTCAAAGATTAAGGCGATTACTTTGAGGGAAATGTTGCCATTGTCGGGTTTTGAAGAAAGAAAGGACATGACCTGGCATGAGTTTCAAATTATTCCAGCATTTGGTGAAAATAGTCTGCAACAGGATACAGAAGGAAGCAACGACAGCACATAAGAGGTCATGGCATTCATGCAAACAAGCGCCTTGCAACGGGACAGAGCAGGTAGAGATAGAGGGTTATGATCCGATGTGGGTGCGTGTGGAAGGGCAGATGTTGATGGGAATTGCCTTGAATCTGAAGATTGCTGTAGGCAGTACTGAGATCTCAACAGTATTAAGTCTTTCAATCCATGAGCAAGAAATGTTTTCCCATTTAGTTTTGTCTTTACTTTCTTCCAGCAGTGTTTAGTACTTTTCAATGCACAAGCCTTTTGCCTCCATAGTTAAATTTTCCCCTGCATATATGATACCTCTTGTTGCCATTGAAAATGGAATTTCGTTTTTGGATTGTTCATCACTAGTGTAGAGACATGCACTTGAGTTTCGTGTGTTGGTTTTGTATGCCACAGATAGGCTGAAATCCTTTATGAGTGCTAATAGAGTTTGGGGGTATGTGGAACCTTTAGAGTTGCTACATATAAAAATCATGTCATGTGGAAACAGATCGTTTTACTTCTTCCTTTACATTTCCAATGCCTTTTGTGTACTTATTGCTTTTTCTGAAACGTCCAGTATTGTGTTGAACATTTGTGGCAAAAGTGCATATCTGTGTCTTGTTTCTGATATTAGGGGGGAAGCTTTCACACGTTCAACAGCAAGTGTGATATTAGCTGTGGGTTTTTCATGTAAGATCCTGTAGAAGGGCGGCTGCAGGGAAAAGGCAGAGGCAGAGGCCACTTTCATGGGCTCAGGTTCCCACTGCCTCCCTCCCCACACCCCCTCCCTGCCTCTTGCAACTGACAAATGTCAGGTGACCCCAGCCCCACATGGCAGCTGCCCCTCTTACACGCCCTCACTCAACCCCCTACCACTCACCTGGCATCAGCAGAGCACACTCCTCACCAGGCCCCTTGCCACCTCCTCACTGGGCCATCACCCCACCCCACCCCCCATTCCCTTCCTCTCCTCACCGCCACCCCACCCCACACACAGCACCGTGAGCAGCCTGAAGCCAGACAATGCACCTTACCACCACCTGCACAGGCTCAGAACCAGGCTCTGGAGGCTCCCTGGAGGAGGAGGTCCAGATACAGTTCTGTCTCCCTGTGGACATTAAACAAAGAGAACTCTACCTACTCGTTAGGCATTGAAGGGGTATGAAGGGTCCCTGATCGTCGAGACCCTGTTGGTTTTGTGATCCCTGACAGCCAGGCAGGAGCAGAAGCAGCAAGGATGCACGGAAAGGCATTCCCTTTGATCC